GTGCCCTAAACATGTTAAACCTTAACATCTTATTTAAAATTGAAAAACAATTTGTAAATTTCATTGCATCTTTTATTGTAAATAAAATTATATATAATTTTTGCTATTAAAATTGTACTATTTCATAAGAATCCATTTTTAGAGAAGCACCAACGTATCTTATAATATTGCTATGACTAATGACCTTACACAATGATGAAATTAAAATTCAAATTTTTATGTCGTCGTGTAATTACCATTTCCACATTTCAATTACCATTTCATAATTACCACTCTTTTAATACTATATGATAATATTAGTAGTTGACTGCAATGAATTCATTCATCTATCATCAACTGAAATGAAGCAATTATTAATTAATAATGTTGGTAAACAAAACTATATAGTGATTATATAGTTAAATAATATTCAGATTTATATTTTTTTCTGTATTTCAAAAGCTATTTTTACAATACCATCAACATTCAAATATTTCATTTTTCTTAAAATTATATATTAAAACTATATATTTTTAACTATAACTATAATTTATATCATAAATACTTATAATAAATCAATTAAGATTATAATTACTACAGTAGATTTGAGTTAAAAAGATTCACTCACAAAGTCACCTGCAGGGAATGTAGAGAATGGAAAGAAAAATTTTGAAGCAATATATAATAGAATATCGCATGCATTTAAATTGGGTCTGAGAATTTTGTCAGGACCCAACCTGACAATTCTAGAAATTTTGCGAAGAGCTTTATTTTGGAGAATAACAGATCACTCAGGTCGGAAAAGAAGATGCCACAAAGATTTTTTCTCTTAGCAAAAAATAAACATTGACGAAGAAGGTGAAACACGGATTTTCTCTCCTCTTCAGAGCCACAACCAAGGCAGATGTCATTAAAGGTTATACCCAGCTTCATAGCATGTTTTGTTGTTTTAATAACCCGTAAAGAGGTATCTAGAAGGTAACATGAAAAGAACGTGTACAGGGTATAGGATATGGTTAGACAAAGGAAGAGTGAAAGGGGTGGGAAGTGCTCGAGCCCCGAGATTGGGATTTGGATTGATGCTAACCTGGGTCAAGGCGAAAAATTTTAGTTGAAGGAACTTGCTTCTACGTTACTAGTCTAGTTTCGATTAGGTCGACTTTGTATCTGCCTGCTTTTTTTTTTTAGGTTGTATAAAATATTTTTGTTTAATTATTTATATCAATATCCCAGAAATAAATGCTTAGATTGTAGAAGTTGTGCCTTGGCAAGCTCATCTATGCTGCAATTGCCCAAAACGTCCTTGTGTACATATAATAATGTTAGTTGCACACTACCACGCCTAATTAGCTCGTTAAGGGAACGAAAAATTAGGAACATAGTGCAGCATGATAGAGGCTTGGTTGTCGGAGAAGATTACGATATTTATATCATAGACTTTGTTGCATGGGACTCATTTTGCTGCACAGTTTATTGACTTATTTCTGTCTAAAAAGCACTGCTATGTTTCGCGGTAATGCTTTTAAAATTTTTATATGATATTTTTACGTTTTCCCAAAAGTACAATCGGACATAGTATCTAATAGAGTCCAGATGTAAATCCCCATAAACATGGTATGTACAGTATTACGTTAAGAAATTAATGTGGGAATAGTTTTAAAAAAAACGTCTGATATAAATAAATATATAAACATTGCAAATATAACCGCAAAATTGAATCTGCGAATGGAATCAAAGATCTACAAAACCTCTGAACGTTCAGGTGTTGAACAGGGCCCGGTCGTTTTTAGAACCTCTATAAAACGGTGCTCAGTAAAACACAACAATCGTGGCAGCTGCCCACATAGAACAATTTCTTATAACCAAGCCAAATTAAGGAATCATACATCTGCTCTATGTTTTTTATTATTTATATTTATTACTTCATCAAAAAATATGTATAATTAAAAAATACAATTATGTACTTATAATGGAAATTTTTTATATATTTTTTTCTCTTACAGACTACATTATATGATATTTATATACATGTATATATATATACAAAAATTTTCAACTAAAATTATCATAAACAAATAAATACGTTCTAACAACCTCTTAAAAGCCAAAGCAAACTCATATCTGCAAATAGTTTTTCTATTAAAACAATATTATTTTTTCTAATGCTGTTGTGTATAATATATAACAAAAAAATAAATATTAATCATTTGAAACTTCGTCTGAAAGAAATTTTACTTCCATTTCTAAAATATATGGCATCTACTGATTGAACACACCTAACGACAAGTAAACGGAATTCAAAATATTTGAATTACACTAACAAAAACCAACGTAAACAAATGACTGAGTGCAATGTTAGGTTTTGGCGGAACTTTAATTAATTTCCCGCTTTTTCGTTATTCATTTCTGAAAAAGTTATTAAGGGAATCGTGCTTCTGTGTCTGCCTGTTAGTTGTTTTAAAATAAATTTAAAGTGTTAAACGTTTTAGGTTTTAAGTTATAATTTATTTAATTAAGTAAAGGTAACTGTGAGGAGTTCAAGTTAAATTAAATTATCAAAATGTTAAAAGATGTGCAATGTTAAACCTTTTTTTATATTTTCATAAATATATATTATACATTTTAATTTATATTATCGTTTTTGTAACATAATTTTTTAATAAAATGTTTTAATTCTTGGATTACTTATACTTTTATATTAATGTAATTTACTGTATTGAAGGACAATACATGTGCACCATGGCGAATACATACAGTTTAAACAATTTACCCAAATATGCTGCCGGATCACAACCATTTACCGTGTTGATCGAAGGAAACATTGGCAGCGGTAAGACGACTTTTCTCAAGTATTTTGAGAAGTATGAGAAGGAAATTTGCCTTATGACGGAACCTGTTGAAAAGTGGCGTAACGTAAAAGGGGTCAACTTATTTGTGAGTTTTACTGGTGTTAATATACGAAATTTTTTTTATTTTCCATGTTTTTATAGGAATTAATGTATAAAGAACCTTATCGTTGGGCTATGCCCTTCCAGTCATATGTAACATTGACTATGCTTAAGAATCACACTGAACAGACCAGTAAGCGTATTAAGCTAATGGAGCGTTCAATATATAGCGCTAGGTATGTATGAAAGAAATTCGATGGATCAAATTTTGTTACATGAAAATGTAATAAAATTATTAGTTGTGTGACTATACGGAATGAAAAGTGAATTAATTAAAATTAATATATAAATAAGCAGAATACATACTATAAAAATACAGCAACAATTTACTAAGTACATCATTATACTTAGTTTCTGTTTTATGTAAATTTATGGATTTAAACGATTTAAATCAACGTATCAATTTCAAAACAATCAATGCCCAAGTCTAAAAGCAAATGTTAACGAGTTTTTAAGTAATCTCAAATGAATACAATTAATAAACAGTAAACTCTGATTTGTTTACAGAATATGTCTAGCTGGTATGTATGTCTGGTATGATGCATGGTCATCATTGTCATTAAATTAGAGAATTCAAATATATTTAAAATTACTATGCATTGCATGAGGTTTTGACTATTTATATATATTATTCTTAAATTCCTGAAAAATAAAACTTTTCTCTAATTTATTTTATTTTTAGATATTGCTTTGTGGAGAATATGTACAAAAATAAAACCATTGACGAGGGCATGTATCATGTATTACAAGAATGGTACGAATACTTAGATAAATCTGTGCATATACAAGCCGATTTAATAGGTAATATAATTACTTTTTTGGCTATGAGTCACTTTTATTTAATATCTACTTTACACATATTTTCAGTGTATTTAAGAACATCGCCTGAAATTGTTTATGAACGCATGAAAAAACGTGCGCGTTCGGAGGAAAGCTGTGTGCCACTCCAGTATTTACAGGAACTGCACGAGCTGCACGAAAACTGGCTTATACACAAATATCCATTCACAAATTCAAAGGTTTGTTGGATTTTTATAAAAACATATTTTTATAAACCCTTAATTATCGGTTTTCATTATATCCAGATACTTATCTTGGATGCGAACTTGGATTTGGAACATATTGGTACAGAGTATAAACGTTCAGAATATAGTATTATAAATGAGTCTCTTCGGGAACAGCCGCAAGCGGTTTTGGTTTCACCAAGTAAAAGGTGTAGGCTTTCCAGCTAAAAATTCCATATTTTATTTGTTTATACATCTAATAATTTACATCACTTATACATAATCTTACCGTTTCCAATCAATGATTGTTAGTTTAATTTACTTTTCTTACTATATTAGTTAAATTATGTTAATATGTCCCATATTTAAACTAAAATTATTTTATTATTGTTAATATTTATATCTCGCAATATAACAACCACAAGGATTATTTTATATGACAAATTTATTCAACTTAATTGTTTATATGCATTTAAACGAAACAAGTAAAGTTTTGTTTATTAACCAAATATTGAAGACAAATGTATCAATGAAGTGCAAAATGACTTAACATTTAAATATATTTTTAATAAATTAATTTTACACCAAGGGAAAACTAATTTTTTGTTATTGTATTCTTGCAGAGTAATTTTTATAGTTCCTATGTTAGAGTAAGTGGCAAAATTTGCTCTCTGAACCATATCGTTTTGACCGCCGTAAATAAGGCGGATTGCTTCAATTGTAAAGACACAGTGGATACGTCAAGCGAATTCGCTTTAATTTTGACAGCAATATGCGGATCAAACAATACAAAGTGTCAATAATACTTAGTTTGATCCATACCATAACTATTTGTTGAGGATTAATTTTGGTGCATTAAGCTAAAATGAATACTGCTACACTTCATGAATTTCGCACTTTGAAAATTCGTATACATGTACTCTGCTGGATCCTGTGTGTGTAGAAAAACAAAAAAATAATTGAGAAAAGTTATTTAAAATATATTTTGATATTCACAAGTAATCCAAAATTACATACAGACTCTTACTTGCGCTATTCATTATTCCTTTCTGACATTAAGAATTAAAAGCTCGTGTAAATGTAAAAAGAAAATATCAAAAAGTGACGATAAAAATATTGTCAATGGAGGTTTCATTACCTTTTCAAGGTCTTCAAAGTAAGAGTAAAATTGCAATCCTCTGAATGCAGTAAACTATGCAAAAACTATTAAACAAATTAGTTTTCATCCTTATTTTTACTCAAGTGTGGTATTGGCGTAAGAGCATAAAGCATGATATAGACGATGCTACCAAGTATGCCGTGTTACCAAATCGCACTGTGTATATTCAAGTATTTATACCAAATTTCGGTCAGAAAACATGTATGCGGTAAAATTACACCTTGTTTCGAAGTGTATAGCAAAACGCATACTTGGTATGCATACATGTAGCATCGTTCATATTATGTTTTACGAAAGAAATATTGATTAGAGTAAAACATAAAGAAAATTTGCTTTTTGTATTTTGCACACGTATAAATTCTTACTGATTTTTTTCATTAACGTTAAATTTTGTGACTTGTATTAGTTTACATTGAGAGCAGCACATTAGATATATTTCGAATTTTAACTATATAAACGTCATCCTTATGTATTTGATTTAGTTTAAGGTAAATTAAAGATGAGGTGTATAAGTAAATCGTTGTGATATTGTTTATTACAACAGAAAAGTAAATATTCACTTGCAAACATAACTTTTTAACATATTGATATTATTTCAAATATTTTAGTATTAATTTGCATATTAACATATATTAATGCAACGAGTTGCTACAATTATTTTTTCATGAATTCAGTGTATTGTGTCAGCTCATTGTGAAATACCTTCTCAATGAATTCGCCTCTGTTTCGTTTCTAAGTTGTTCATATAGCAGCGCTGTTATTAACCGTAGGTTCAGCTTCACGTGTTTTAAATTTCGTTAGTCTATACGTTTGATTGTGCTTATTTTTCAGAAAAATGGCTTTAAAACGTTTAAAAAGTACATACATTTTATCATACACATAAAAAGCGGTATATAATATATATTTCTTTATAGCAAAAAAATCAAAACGCCAGACAGGACGGTTGAAGCACAAAATTGAGAAAAAAGTACGTGAACACAATAGAAAGATACGTCGCGAGGCTAAGAAGAATCCCAAAAAAGGCAGTAAAAAACAGAAGTTGATACAGATACCAAACATATGTCCATTTAAAGAAGATATACTTAAGGATGTGGAAGAGGCTAAGAAGCGTCAGGAAGAAGAACGACAAAAGCGACGTGAAGCCTATAAACAAGAGCGTGACCAAAACAAGTTTAAAACATTGGAAGCACTTGCGGGCGATGCCGATATGCGTGGTAACGTGCACTCAGTTTTTCATGAAAACGATCAAATAGTTGATGAAGTAAGTGAAAACTTAAAACACGCTTTTTAATATATTTAACATAATTTTATTTCTATAGAAACAATATAAAAGTGCTAGCACAAAGGAGCAATCTTTAAAGCAATATTTTAAGGAATTCAAAAAGGTGTTAGAAAATGCTGATGTTGTTTTGGAGGTGGTAGATGCTCGTGATCCACTTGGTACACGCTGTAATGAGGTAGAACGTGCTGTGCGTGCAGCAACAGGCAACAAACGCCTTGTGCTTGTTTTAAATAAAGCAGATTTAGTGCCTAAAGAAAATCTAAATAATTGGTTAAAATATTTCCGTCGTTTGGGGCCTGTAACAGCTTTTAAAGCATCCACACAAGATCAGACCTCGAAATTGGGACGTCGAAAACTGCATCAGATGAAGACCGATAAAGCTATGCAAGGATCAGTTTGTGTTGGCGCTGAATTATTAATGTCTATGCTTGGAAATTATTGTAGAAATAAGGGTATCAAAACATCAATTCGTGTTGGTGTTGTAGGTATTCCAAATGTAGGCAAGAGTTCTATTATAAATTCATTAACACGCGGCAAAACTTGCTCCGTTGGCTGCACACCGGGTGTTACAAAGTAAGTTACGCCCGTTTCTTTCTAATTATATGCTTAATTATACTTATAAATTTATATATTTTTTATTAGGGCTATGCAAGAAGTTGAACTGGATTCAAAAATAAAACTTATAGATTGCCCGGGTATTGTGTTTGCAAACTCTTCCAAAACTGATATACCAGTCGTCCTCAAGAATGCTCAACGCGTTGGAGATGTTAAAGATCCTTTCACCATAGCAGAAAGTGTTTTGAAACGTGCTAGTAAAGAATATTTTTGCAAATTATATGATTTAACTGGCTACGACACCTTTGAGGAATTCTTCGCCAAAAAAGCTGCGCGTATGGGTAAGTGATTGACTTCTTTATGTTTATTTTTGTTTTAATTTTTGAGTCGTTACTTCGAAAATGTTTAAATGCGGTTATTTTTGTTTTTTAAAATATACTAACTTTTATTTGGAAAGTTTTTTTGTGTATCTCTACACGTGTTTCGGCAAATTCACTTTTGCCTTCATCAGGAGAATTCCTAATATTAAAACATCTAGCAATCTTACAAACTATTTATACCATAAACATGTTATTTTTAATACTAAGCTTAATATTAATAAATCCTAAGGTTATTGTCCTTGGGGGTGACAGGTAAGAAATAGTGGCGGGATTGGTCCTTTATGTTGTTGTTGAGCCTTTTCCGAGTTAGTGCATCTCGGCACTTTTGCTCTTTGATAGCTGGGGGGTTTCTGCAGAGTTCCACCTATCTCACTGAATAATTTGTATGTTCCTCATAAGCTTCGTCATTATTCAATGACTGATCAAAGATCTGGTACCGCCACGTGCGGTTAGTGATTTTACAAATATATATTGTTTTTTTTTTTAAAGGCGGATAAGTAAAGATGTCATTACTTTAACACCTGTACTTTCACTTTTAAAAGTTAACATTATAGGAATTATAAACACGTTGCAAGGGTTAGGGTTAGAATATAGTTGGGTAGTGAAAAATTGTGGAAGGAAGTTTCAAAAAGGAAATGATTGTTTGGGAACAAGTATTGACTGAGGATGTATGGGAAAAAATAGGTTTATCATAGGAATTGCTTCGGGACTTACGTTCAATCGTTCTTAGTAGCCATAATCATCCTCCTAAAACATTCTTTAACCGTTTTTTCAAGACTACGTATCAATGCTTAGCTTAATATATAATTATATTTATAAATGAATAATATTTAATATTTATAAATTTAAATGATAACTCTGCATATCCTACTTCTTTTTTAATACAGTAGTGTCACACAAATGAGAACCACTTGGTATATACATTTTAGTTTGTTAAGATTATTGCACTTTTTAACTTAAGCATCAGTCAGGATTTCTGCTCTCTAACTTAATGTTTAGTATCCCTCCATGCATATTATACAACAAAACAGTAATATAATATTTCGTTAAAGGTAAATTCTTGAAAAAAGGAGTACCGGACGTTGTAGCAGCTGCTCGTAGTGTTCTCAATGATTGGAATACAGGAAAAATAAAATATTGTACTCAACCACCAGAAATTCATAGTACAAATGATGTACACGTAAGCGCTTCAATAGTCCATGCAGAAGCCAGGGAATTTGATGTGGATAATTTTGAAGCTATGGAAACAGATATTCTTGATAATTGCGATGTTAAACTGGAAGATGTAATGGAAATTGCCACAGCGGGTCCTGTTGAATATAAACCACCAATGGATGACGATGACGACGACGATGATGATGATGATGATGAAAAAGTCGAAGACACGCAAAAAACCATTATTGATGAAAAGGAACTACCAAATAAAAGCAGAAAGAGAAAGATGGATGAGAGTGAAAAAAAAGAAAAACCTGATCCAGCTATGAGCTTAAAAGGTAATAGCTTACAATTTAAAAATTTTGCTTTTAATATTAAATAGTATATTTACTAGGTAATCAAACTATTAACAAAAATATCAAACAGAATTTGAAAAAGAAGAAGAAACAAAATGTGCGTAATGAGAAAAAGGTTTCACATATATCCGATGTCCTGGATAACTTCAGCCTAAACACCGCGCATGATAATGACGATAAATATGATTTTGATGAAGACTACGTCATAGAGTAGTAAATTTGGGTTTCGTCTTCATTATAGCTGTAAATTGTTGATAGAATAAATAAATTTAAGTTTAATCAAAAATATTTGTTTATAAATTTTTAAAACACAATAATTTATTGTAGAAATCGTAAATAAAGCATATATTTTTTAAACGTCATATAATATTTTTTAAATGAAAAAGAAATTTTGTTAGTTATAATATCCTTACGATGAGTTATGGATGCTGTCGTTCATTTTGTCGCAAGTGTTGTGTTCCATGTTACTGTATCTTGTGGGGACGCGATGAAAAAACTTGGCTTTGTACTCGCTATATCAGTGGCTTTCTTATAGCCTTACTTATATCAACGGTCTTCTGGTATTATACGATAGCGAATTTGTGTGTATCATGGGAACTCAATTTCGTACTACTTGCCGTATGCATTACTTTTACAGGTGGGTAGCATCTAACGAGGTTTACTTGGCAATAAATGCTCTACAAATGATTTTTCAGTTTTTGGTTTCATATTTAATAAAGGCATACGTTGCATTCTATTTCTGTTGGTTATAAGCATATTTGGGAGTTCTGGTCGGACGTACTTACGCGCACTATGTTTCGCAACTGTTTTATCAGGTAATAGAAAGGGTTTAACATGCAATAATCCCATATAAATAAGATACTCTAATAGGTCCTATTGAAAATTTAAGTTTAAATGGTGGAGAAATAGTACGGGTGTACACTTGTGCCAATATACTGACTTATAATTTGACGAAAACTCGTCTGGATTTGATAACGAAACCCTTTCAAAGGGTTTTATATAATATTCGAGAGGACGCTGCAGAAATAAATAAAACATTTGGTGAAGTGCGGGAGTTCATGTATCCCGTGCACAATGAAATAGAGAGCGATGATGAAACTTGGGTACCAAATGAAAATGATACTTACAAACCGATAGAGATTCCTGAAAACACTTCGAAAGCAGAATTCATACAAGATAGATATACAAATAAATTTCGAAAACGTTGCTATCATCAAATGGGCAAGAGTAAGGATCGCTGCCAAGTGGCGTTTAGGGAAGCATTGTTGAAGTGTGAGGAAAAAATCCCTTTTTTAGTGAGAACGCTACTTTGTTGGCCTTTTAAAGTGGACTTCGTTTGTAATATAAATATATTTTCCAGTCTTGAGACGGTATGCGATCCTACTGATGCCATACCCAGAGATTTTGGTAAAAATTATGTAGTGTTAAATGAAACGGAAAATGAACTCTTTAATAATAGTAAAATGGAAGTTAACTATACTATACATTACAATGAAATACCGCCAGGTTTTAAGTAAGTTTTATAGACTATAACATATTACATATAGACTGTAACGTAATTATGTCACTTCATAATCTTCAATTCAATAATATTCTTTCATCACTATATATATCAAACATTATTATTAATGAAAATTAAGTATGGAATACTGTTTAAGATACTTCCATTAGGTGGTCTATTGTTCAGTTGTTTTACTCGATCAATAAGCTTTTAATAAACTTACGCATCTTTGACAGTTTTTTATTGTTTCATATGTTATAAGTAGCAACCAGTCTGTTCTCCAGATGGATAAGTGTGCTGCTACCCAGTTTATGGCATTCACAGAGAATATGCAATGACGCTTCAACATTCATTTCACAAAAGAAGCAAATACTGAACTCTAAAAAGCTCATTTTGTTAAGATAGTAGGTACTTCAGTTTCTTCTCAAACTTCTCAGTCTCAATACATCTGAATTCGGATTAATCGTTGGTTTTCCAACTACCATTCTTCAAAAATGGGACGGGACTAATCATTTAACAAGCAGGTTCCATCCCCAGTTAATATTCTGAGATCATCTGTGTAAATTAGATCATACTGTTTGCTTCAAAGAACAGAATTGGTAAGACATATATATATCATCTACACACATCTATGTTTAGTAATAGTTGAAGATCCTTCATCGAGAGTAGAAGAAAAGCTTTAAAAAAATTAAGCACTTCTGTTTTTATATACTTTTATTCACAGTTATTTTAAAAGAAAGGTTTTTTTCAGTAAACATTATAAATCGATCTTGCACTCATTTGAGTTTTATCTATCGTTTTATTGGATCTGTCGATATTAAAGTACTTCAAAGAACGCATACATACGATACAGATCATATGAAAAATTATCTAACTTTTAGTTTTCTAATTTTAGTACCGCAGATGAAATGGGAGAAAAAATTTATAAAGAATATACGAGAAAGAAACAGATATTTTCTACAATTATAGCTGTGCAAGAGAAATTATTGCTGTACTTCTTTATTGTTTTAGTTATAGGTAATCAGACCATTGTAATTCTGATATTTGCAATATTAATATTTTTTATCACAGGATCCATAAAATATCGTAAAAAATTTTTAAATGATATTGACTCTGATAATATATACATAAATGATTATTTTTTGCATATTGACGAGCGAAGAAGAAAACTGGGTAAACGAACTATTTTACCATTAAAAAAAGTAAGAGAGAAAAAGTTTCTTTAAAACCTATTGTGGCTCTGTGACTCACGTGTATAATATATAATTCACACATTTTCAGAGAGAGAGAAATAAATTGGTCGATACTAACAATATCTGCAATCGTACAAAAGAAGAAAAAAAATCGGCTAAATACCATATTTTACGCCTTTCCGTTGAAATAATCATAGGATTATTTTTCATCTTGTTAGATTACATTATCGTGGTTCTATTGAAAATAGTTCGAATGGAATCCGAAACTACCTATACACAGGAAGGAGAACACACAATAACGTTCAGTGTAAGACCTTCTTTACAATTATTTACTATATATACGTCGAAATGAATAAACATTTTTAGATTGAGGGTACTGGTCTCATGGCACGTTTATTACAGAAAACGATGCGGAATTTTAATATACATGAGCGAGTACGAACACAGCTTTCGAACAAAGAATGTCTACCTCTTCCGAATCAGCTGGATGATAGGTAATTTTTGTTCTCATCGACAGTTTTAAACTCTTTCTATACTCTATTTTCACAGCTTTTACATGAAAATGGGAATTTTGTATTCCTCCATTATTATTTTAACAAGCAAAAGTACGGCTATTCTAAGACTACGTCACATGATTTGTGCTTATTTCTATCGCAAGCGAGAGAAGCAACGTACTCTCTATTTGTATAATTCGTTACTAAGAGAACGACGAAACCAATTTAAAAAGATGCTTAGAGAGGCCCAAAACAATGCGGCTAAAAATGAGCTACGTAATAAATTGAATATATTCTTGGTAAATATACCCTTTAATAATAAAATAATTCAACTTAGATGACTTATATCTTTTGGTATAGAAATTACGTGCTGCTTATCCAAATAGTTTCAAGTTCTTGAAGAATTGTCAATATGCACGTTTCAAGTGCCTAATTTGTGAAGAACGTGAAGGTACTTATATAAGCTACTTCTATTCTACATATCTAAAAACAAAGATTTTTTAATGTTCCACAGATGATCTCTTCGTATTCTGTCCTAATACCAAATGTAATGTCACGTATTGTCGCGACTGCTGGGAAGACATGCCCGATTTTTGCTTACTTTGCAGAGAAAGAATTAAAGAGACGAAAATTAATAATTTTGATCAGTTCTTTGAAGAAGTTAATATGTACGATATGTTTTATGAGCCATATGTGCTTGGAACAGATAAATCAGAGCCGGAAACAGATAAGGATGAAAAAGAAAAAGGAAAGAATGTTGGCATAGTTTCAAAAATAAAGAACTTATGTCGTAAAAGTCAAAAGAAATCTAAAGATGATAAAATAGATAAAAAGGACAAAGTAAATACTTCACCTGAAAATAAAAAATCTGGCAAAAAGAAAAAAGTAGATTCTAAATCAAAAGATAATAAAACTGATGAAAAAAATAAACCCAATACTATAAACAAAGGTGACAAAACTCTTTTTGCAAAGAGCAGAATAGATCCTATATTGAAAGACGATAGGACTGAAAAACAGAGCAAGGTGGATCCTTCACCAAAACTGGAAGACAAAAAATACAAAACTGAAACTGTTAAAGACACACAGCAAAAAACCGTTGGCAAAAGCGCGTTATCCACCTTTAAGGTGGATAAACAAAATTATAGTTCCATCTACGATGCAGATGATGAATATGACGATACAGATACCGAATCTGATTTCGGTTAAAAAGAACTGACAACGCTTAGACAGCATTTTAGATATTTAACTACTTTCGAGAAGTCCACAAACGAATATTTTTATTAAACGTTTTTAAAAATGTTTAATTTATATTGTTGAAATATTTTTTTTAAATTGGATTTTTTTATTTATATTTTTGATATACCTTAACAACTCTCAATTTTTCAAAATAAATAAATAAGCTCAATATCAAACGTTCTTTTTTTGAGTTTTTATTATACTCATATTTGTATAATAAACAGGATTTCTGAGAATATAAAACTCAGTATTAGAAAACTATATAGTATTAAGTTAGCATAACTAATATTCAAATGCTGTTTTTGTATCGCATGGACGTAGCATATCAAAGACGTTAACGTGACTGTTCATCACGTATGTTCCGAATCCGAAAACTTCGTACAAAGAAATTCGCATAAAGTTTCCTATAAGCAATCTACTTCTTTATTAGTTATCAAAAGCAGATTGCTTAAGCAGAATTCCTCCACACAGATGCAGTATCCTCTTTAAGACCACGGGTGCATAGCAAAAAATACTTTCAACAGACCTGTGCCTAATATCTTCCGTGCAACAAGCACTGTCTTAGCGTAATTGAGATCACGGTATACTTATGTGCTAAACAGTAATGTGTGGTCTAACTGCAGTTTTATACACCCATGATGTGGGCTGGCTATCGGTTTGCATGACTTAATGCACATCAACTTGAGTCCAATTGAATCTGTCCCTTTAAAGTGCCTAGGTTTTTTCGCCTTACCTGAGGTTTGCTTCGATTAAAATACCACCCATTCGCAATCTACTCTTGTTCCCGAAAAATCTTCACCGTTTCACACATCCTTTACCCAACCATGTCATAATCTATGTATATTTATTTGTAATTGTAATATAAAAGGTTATGTTATCTGCCATATAGATTTTCTCCATGGCTTACATGATTCCGATTTGTTCAGTCGTTTCTTTTTTAAAAATAAAAACAAAATATATAAATTTTATCTTTTGAAATTTTATTGTACAAAATTTCTTAAAACTTAACAATAGAATTACAGTGGTTTTTGTATTTGTATTTCATAATTAGTTTGTTGCTATTTTATTTAAAATTAATTTTTTATATTAAATTTAGAATTTGAATTTGTCGCTGTATAAAGTTTACTATTTATTTTCAATAAATAAAATACATAAAATTAGATTTGTTATATTATAAAAGATTTATATGCAAAGTTCGTTGGTCCCTATATACAAAAATGTATATGTGTATATATATTGTGTATATGTTAACCAACGAAGTGCATATAAACGTAAACAACATATACAATTTTATATAATTTGCAGGTGGTATTTACAAAAATTCGTCTAGTTTTTATTTCTATATTAAATAACGATAGAGGCAAAATTTGCAATTAGCATTAGAAATTAATTGTAGAATAAATTAAATTACTATTACATTTGGTTTTAACTAGAGTGACTAACACAGTGGGTGGTGTTAGGCTTGCTTATTGTATTGACAGTGAACCCACCAATTAATTTCATTTAATTAATTATTAATTTTTGCCTTGTTTCCAGAGCATTTAACATTTTCAAGAGATTTGCCAATCGATGTTCACTTCAATTTGCACTTCTACTGATTTTACTGACTTTGTTTCCGTGGTTTTTCTAAATTAATTAATTAAAGCTTATATAAATTTAAGTTGCTTCTCTTAGGATTGAGCTGATTGAGCTGATTGGGCACAATAGCATTAAGTAGGCACACATAATCTTTATTGAAATCTGTTAAAAGTGAAATTGGCCAAAATAGCAAAATACTTTCTTTCCTAATCATTGGTTAAGATGAGAGTGATATTTTTTCTTATTTTGAAAAAAGTTCAAATTATTAGAAATAAAAATACAAAATATAAAACATAATTATTAATTTAAAACTCGCACAATTAAAATTTTCATTCTAAAGGAATGTATGGCATGAGAAATTAATTTAAAAATTTATTTTAAAATTATTTATTTACATTAGGCTATATAAGAAAATACTACTTGTGTCACATTTTAAATTTCGATTTATATTCATAAATTATTTTAAAACAAATTATTTGTTTGATATTTCATAATCTCAATTATGCATTTCCATATCACAGAAACGCATATGAGTCGTCTTAGATATAGACTATCAAAAGTATTAATCACATCCGATGAAAATGACGGTGAGGCTTCCGTTGATGAGTATATATGTAAATGTTCGCGACAAGGTTAAATGACTAGAATATTATTAAATATTATTATTATTTATTACTACGAGTAATAATTAAGATTGTTATTTAAATAAAGTTTTAAAGAAAATAAAAATTTTAGAATTTAATATGAATATAACGTATGTGTCCAGTTTACTGGATCGGTTAATATCGAAGTTATAGAATTAATGACTTATGAACATTAGATTTGATTTGATTAATTAAGATTAAAAAAAAAATTAAAAAGTAAAAGAGTAGAAAAGGTAAATGTGACAAAGGTTTATAAAAATTAATGATTAACTAATATCAAACGGTAAACGATACATATAAACATAAAATTACAAAATGTTCGAAATATGATCATTTTACAACGCGTTCAGTTCTCAACAAATAAACTGTTTTAAAATAAAATATTTTTTTTTATAAAAATAAAATGGTTTTTTATAACAATAAAATATTTTTTTTTATAAAAACAATATAAAATATTTTTTTTATAAAAATAATATAAAATATTTTTTCTATAAAAATAATATAAAATATTTTTTCTATAAAAATAATATTAAATATTTTTTTTATATAAATAATATAAAATATTTTTTTTATATAAATAATATAAAATAATATTTTTTTTTAAAAATAATACAATATATTTTTTTTATAAAAATAATATAAAATTATTTTTTTTATAAAAATAATATAAAATATTTTTTTATATAAAAATTATGTAAAATATATATTTTTTATAAAATTAAAAAAATATATTTTTTTTTAAATTAATACAAAAATATATTTTTTTTTATAAAAATTATATAAAGTATATATTTTTTTAATAAAAAATAAAATATTTTGATTTTTATAAAAATAAAAATATCAAAAATAAAAATGTGTTTACAATTTTGTTACTATTTTCCTTCACAATTTTTTAATTTATACAATTTGTACTGCACTTATGAAAAAAAACTAATTTTTATTTAATATTAAATAAAATAATTATTTTTTACAACTAAGCACTTATTTCTTTGGATTACATAAAAAAAATTACTAAGTTTTAAAAATAAACAAAATAAATAGTATTAAAAAATAAATATAAATGCATTTTTTTATTTTGGTCTTTTGTGGTGGTTTATAATTTTTAAATGTTCCATTTAAGTTTTGTTTGTGTTTATTATTAATGTAATATAATTTATCATTTCAATTTGTTTTATTGAAAATAGTGAAATGTATTTTTTATACTTGGAGATATACAATATTTAATAACATTTTTTCAATTAACAATTTTATATCTTAAGACTATTTTATATCTTGAAGATATTTCTCTTCAAATAGAAAAATTATTACTTTTAGCAATATTTCTTTCGACTAAAGTAGAATTATTTTATTGCAAATTAGATTACTTAAAAAGGGTGGAGTAATACGAATATTTAGGTAACTTTGAGGGCTTCTATATTGACATTAGCACTAATGAAACGTTTAAAAATTTAGAAAAACGCATATAGTAACTTCTTCCAATATTACTACATTAATACAATTATATGAAAATTTTTAAAATATAGTTGTTATAAACTTTTCTGCAAAAAAAAATTATTTTTATCTACATTATAAATTAATTGAATATTACTTAATATATTTCTTTTAGCTTCAGTTTTACTGTCGTCTAAATAATTAAAGAAAACAAAAGATAAGTTAAAAAAATCTGAGTAGAAAAACTTATTAATAATTAAAACAATTTTTAATATATTAAAAATTTAATTAAATTTGCTAATAGAGATTTTTGATAAGTTTTTCAAATCAGAAATTGGAAAATTTCAACTTTTGAACATTTCCAAAAAAAAAAAAAAATAATATTAAAAAAAATTCAAGAAAGTTAATTAATTTCGTATTTATTAATATTAATAAAATATAGATAAAAATATACGAGTAAAAACAACTTTGATGAGACAGAAAAATTTATAACTCTTTTAACAATTTTATAGCTCAGCAATATTGAATTTTGATTGTTTTACTAGCCAAAGGATAAAGTTATATATATATATGTATATAACACCTTTCAAAAATTATTAAAAAAAATTTTATAAATTATTTTTATGTCCATACAAAAATAATAGTAATTGAGAATTAGTATCAATAAGAAAACTAAAGGGGAAGATTTAATTATATATCCTGAACTGCTATAGCGTCTTTTGGTTTGGTGAAAACCAATTGAATTTTATTGCTTGACGTTTGTTTACAGTACAACCATTAAGGAATGCTATTGCATTTATTTGTGTGCGAAGTATTTGGTGATCGGATTGAAATCGTATGTTTGCGCTTTTTTGCTGTTTTGCTTTATATGTAGTCTGTTCTAACAAATTACTTCTATGTTCTGCTATATACGTTCGATAGGTATATGCAAACTAATTAAGCCTTATTAAAGGGTTTTCCTATTTCGTGGTCTTCATTTGTTATAATGATATATGTCAACATAAACGTATAATATATGTTTAGTTTTACTTATGCATTCAGTCATCACTAGGCATTATTTTTCTGTTACTCAAATAATAGTGTTTATGTGAACAATCCTCGAAGTTCTGCAATTAAACATCAGTTCGGTTAAGATATTGCTAGCTATATGCCGACAAGTCTTGAAAAATTACTTTAAAAGTATTTGTTAGTACAATATCTCCCGAGGGGGCATTTTAATGATGTTGTGTTTCACACCTAATGGCAAGATCTCAACAATATATTATTATAAAAATTTAAGATCTTCATCACAAGTATATTTCATTTACGTTTAGTTTTGAAGCCTTAAACGGGATAACTCTGTATTAACACAACATAAAAAATTGTTAACAGTTCAGTTGAATAGATACATATATAGATAGATAAATAAATATATACATATATCTCCAAGTAGACATTTCAAATTTAAATTTTATACATTTCTGTTTTACAATATTATTCAATTAATTTGCACTCAGTTAAAGCTTTAAATAAACTTCTGTCCAGCAGTATTTTCTTTCACCTTAACCATATTTAATCATATTATCGTTCACTGTACCTACAAAATATATCTTCTGTGTTTTTTGTTTTGTGTGTTTTGTTGAATGTGTATATCATAAGCTCAATTTCTCCTTTTGTTAACAAACAAAAAAAAAAAAACATAATAATAAATAAAAAATACAATAAAATAAAAAAATAAAATAAAAACTATTAGCATACAAACTATACTTAAACTCTATGTTCGATCACAGGTTTTCGTTTAAAATTAATTTATTTTCGATGCTGCTTCCCGTTTAATTAATCGCAAATCATTCATATTTGCAAGGCAATTTACTATTTTTGTTTATGCAGTTTTAAGTCTTTGTGTTTAAAATTTGTGTTTTTGTTGTTGTTACTGTGGATATTGTTGCTATCATATTGTTGTTCCGACGACCTCCAACATATTTTGATTAATTTGACGAATGTGTTATGAATTTTTCTTATGGCTTGTCGATGCCTGTCTTTCTTATAATAATAATTTACACTTTTCCATAAATCATCGAATACAGGCAAGTAATTAAAAACATTTTCTTCCTCATTCTTCTCAGTTCTTTCCTGACTATTTCTATATTCCCTAATTTCATTAAATTGTCCAATGCTTATATTGGTTGTTGATGTTGTACATTTATATCGTCTATCTTCTTTCACATTAACATTAGTTAGACAATTGGAGTCAGCAGCACTCCACTGGGTTGCGTAGCTATGCTCAAGCGTACTTAACTTGTACATACAATTATCATCACAGACATTATCAATTGCTATTTGAGTTTCAGTATCCTTGCCACATTTATTCTGGCCTCCATTCATGTTAATTAGTTTTTGTCACCGTTGCGTTGGTAATAATACCTCGAACCAACATGGGCAGTTTGTTACATCCTGACGTTTGTATTTATCACCCCAACCTTTGCCAAAACTTATTTGCATACCGTATGGATCCTTAGGTCCTAATTGAGCACCAGGAAAATGCGAGGGATATTTAAGTGTTTGAGCCCTGAAATACAAATAATTTATAGTTAAAACATTTTATTTTCAATCAGATTTGAGAACACAATGCACATACCTTTCACTGTCGAAGGCTTTAAGGCAGTACCCAGGCAATATTTTACAAACACAATGCCAATTTTCGCTTAAGGTTGGAGAATTTACAAATATTGGTAACATTGAACGATTATACAACCAAATGCTGCCATTTTCCTTACTTAATGTTACACCTGGAATATAAGAGAATATTCAGAATGAAAAACTACATTTATTTATTTATTACTATCTTAACGAAACCTAATGATATATTATATAAAATAATTCAGATCTAGCTATAGAAACATTTTAATTGTGCCAAATAAAGGTAAATTAAAGAGTGAATCTATGTAGATCTAGGTTCGTTCATTACAATTTTGCTCTTCTTCTATACGCAGTTTCTGTAGTAACGCGTATTAATGATTCAAGACCGACTTACAAGACTTTAATGAATTTATTTGCTTTGATACTTTTATGAGACCTACGATATCGTTTTTGATTGTTTTCAGTGATTGTAAAAAAACTGGATTTCTCAAGAACTCTTGGCCCTACTCTTGCCAAAGCTGGATATCTTTACATTAGATAAGCCACACCGATGGTGAGGCCCGAACGTTTCTGTGGATTAGGACATAAGGCACTACTTTCTCTCATAGAGATAAAGTAGAACCAGAACAAAAATTATTACTGAAATAATATACCAGGATTAACACAATCCAAATTTCTTATTCATACCTATAACAATAAGATATATCCAGGAGTGTATGGACTTATCAAATGAAAAACTTGGAATCATTATAGGAATCGTAACAGGGTACTATAAATTAAAATACCTTCTTACAAAACTGGATATATGTACGGATGCAAACTATAGATTCTGCGAAGAGAATGAGGAGTTAGCCACACATGTGCTGTGAGAATGCTCGGCATTAATGCATAAACGGAAGAGGACGCCTGGAATTTTTTTGAAGTTCATAAGTATATAGCTATGATGTACATATAAGTATATAAATATCAGGATCGACGTGAAAATCTAAATTAGTATAATCTAGAAATATATATTGAGCAGATCACTTTTCTAAACAAACACATTTCTTGATTAACGTTTATATACAATGCTTAAAAAAAATTTATTTTATTATTTTAAGAATTCTTAAACTGTTACTAAACTTTATATATATAAGTATATGAAGGATTTTATCTAAAAATTGTTATAAAAAATGTGCTAAATAGTATAAATAATTTTGTATTTCATAAAAACAAAAAATAATACTTAAATCAATTTAAAAAGTTTCATACCTAAACCAATCTTAAGTCTTATTTTTTTCACGTTGTCGGGCGATGGCGTTCTTCTTTGTTTGGCTAATTCGTTTAAACACATATCATCATTACTGTCACCTTTGCACGGATCATCAGAATAGATGTTAACAGATGACTTCTTCGCTAAATAACGATCACCAACACGTTGTGACATCTCCCAATAAGCTACTTGACACCAAATCAATGGACAAGCATTTTGACCTAAAAAGAGAAGAAAAAAAAGGGATCAAAATTAAATTGGATTAAGAGGTGTGGTTCTTACTATATAAATCAAGATTTTTATAAAATAATCTTTAAATATTAATTAGAAATACTTTGGATAAGTTATTTGTATTTTTTTTAAAGATATATGAGTAAGCTTAATATATTTAATAAAAATAAATTTAAGATTTTTTTTTTTAATAAAATCAGTATTAGGAACACGAACATATGTACATACATCCATAATATAAAAATAAATGTTTGCAATAGACACCTATATTATGACTCAATTGGATACATTATTGAATATAAATAAATATAAATAAACTATTCTAGTAACATTAATAATAAGAGTTAACAATCAATCTATAGTAATTTATTTTACTTTGTTACATCGAATGGAAAACATTGTTAACCATTCTTGCAAAAGACATACATTTGTGATAAATGAACATATGTGTTAGATTATTTGGTTATACAAATTATAATTCTCAGTCAGTTTAGATAGAAATAACAGCTCGATAATAAAATGACTGCACTAATTTTCGTATGATAACAAGGATACCTACGACTTTTGAAGCTGATTATGATAAATTGTAATTCCATGTTTAGGTAAATTGTTAGATTAAGTTGGAAACGCAGATTGGAGATTGGAAACCAATCTTCAATTATAATTTAGAAGATATGAAAATATGAAAGACATGAAAATGATATCTTTGTAAAGGATTATAAAGTTAATTATGTGATTAAAATTGCATTTGATTTTGTAAAATATTTGTAATTTTTTTTGCAGTGTAAATATTGTGATAAGTGGTCTACCCAACGTTATAAGCATTTAAGGTAATGCTTTGATTATATTAGAAAAGTATACAAATAAAAATGTAAACTATTGGTATATTGTTATATTCGCTTCGTAAAGATAAAATTGAAATTATTTTTATAACAATTGATTTGTAAATATCTGAAATGTTCTATTTTATTTCGAAAAATTATATTATAAATTATGTATTTTAGTTATACAGATTTTTCCTATAAGTTTGTAAAAATCAATAGACTATTCTGAACAAGTAAATTTATATTGTTATGCATGGAGAGAGAGTTCAACAGATTATAATTCTCATTTTATTTAAATGAAATTTCATATATATGCATATAGAAAGCAAATTTAAAATGCACGATTATTGATTAGTTTAATAGTTATTATAGTTTTTCTTATAACTGACTTATGTAGGCATTATGAAGATAAAGAAAGGCAGGGTTGGTCTGTGGAGGGAGTTGAAGTGTTTAAATCTGTTGTTATATGTGTTTAGCAAGCTGATCGCCATTAATGTGATTTCACATTAATTATGTTGAGCTAAGATCAATTTAAAAATACCCCAATGCTTTGTTCATTCGATTTAGTTTTGATATGAACATGAATTATAATTCTCAATTAATTTGAAATCTTTTCCAAACTCCATAAAATTCTTTTAAATGGCGCAGCATAGTAAGATATGTATGTATATAATTAACGACATTACCTAATAATAATAATATAATATATCTATTGTGCGCCTAAAGGCCCAACTGAGACAATTCTAGACTATTTATAAATCTTGCAATTGCTGTGGGCTTAATTCTATCTATTTGATTTGGGACTAAGATCCCGCTTCCAAAGTAGTCGAGTCTACGTCTTGCCGCCGCTGGGCAGTTACATAGAATGTGTTCTGACGTTTCCTTCTCCTCATGACAGAGTCGACAAAAGTCACTTTCTACCGCACCTATAATCATTCATGTGGTAATTAAGTCTACAGTGTTCTGTAAGAAGTGCAGTGTAGATTTTAATATCGTTTCTGCTAAGGCCAAGGATAGCAGATGTTATTTCTCCCGTTCACCTAGTAAATTATTTCTAAAGCTATTTGTTACCCCGCAGAAGGGTTCTGGACCAATGAAAGGAGTACATGCACCCTTATTTGCTAGGAAGTCTGTTATTTCATTGCCCTCATTCCCTTCGTGTCCCGGTACCCACATAAGTGTAACATAGTTCCTCGATGCTAGGGTATTGCGAAGTTGAAAGCATTCCCAGACCAACTTTGATTTAATTAACGACATAGCTGAAACCCCATTTTGTAAGCAATGTAGATTATACTTTATATTTAATAGGCTATAAATCCGATTAAGGCATATGTATAACTATGTGAATATATTTTGTGCAAAACTTTATACTAAGATATATATTAGTTTGTAAAAATTTTATGTAAATAAATATATATTAGCAAATAAAAATGTAAAAGTGTCTGCTTTGCTGTTGGCGGCGTCAATTTGTCGCCTTCGCCGGACGTGGCGCTAATTTGTTTCTCAAATGGTTTTATTTCTTAAAATGTACAACTTTTCGCGCCCGCCATTCATTACGATGATGCGATGCCGTCGAAGCGGCCGTATCCACTGATGTCGACAAGTTTATGTGGGTTCGCCATGTTTATTTGCCATAAAAAAGTCAACTGTTCTGTACGTTGTTAGTACGTACGTACGTACGTCCGTATGTCCGTATGTCCGTATGTCCGTACGTTAATAAGAAATTAAGTTGAGTATTTACTTGTGGAATAAGTGCGGCATGGCGGCACGGCACACTGACTTCATACTTGACGACGTCAGCGTCGTCCATTAAAATGGTAATAATTTTGGCGCCACCAACATGTTACGTAAAGTGAGCAGCGTTAAATACAAGTGCAAAGCTTAACTTGTGCTTCCACATATAAGTTTTTTTTATTTTAATTTTTTTTTTTGATTTTTTGTTTAATTCCATTCCATGAATATTTTTTTGAATATTTTTCATTAAACAAATTTTTTTTTTTTTTGCTTTAATAAAAATATTTTTTTTCATATACAAATAATACTTAAGAAAATATACACCAATAAAAAAATGCAAAAACAACTTAAAATCGTGCTAAATTTTATTAATTGCTGAATTAGCGTAGGAGCGACTTTTTGGACTTTTCAAAAGAATTCAGGAGGGTACGCGGGTACGTGGAATGTCAATAAATAAAGTAGCCACTCGCCTCACGTTTATTTTAAAACAAAAATAACGAGTTTAACTTGCATGACTGGACTCTACACTTCACACGAATTCTTTAAGTCGGGATATCTGTGGAAATGTCCGACAGTCATGTGAGAACTGTTTCCAGATTTTCATTCCTTAAAACTATTCAAAAAAAAAAAGAGAAAAAGATAATTTAATATTATAGAAAATTTATTATATTCAAAAGGTACCATTATGTCAATTAATTTACTAGTATAAAATATTGAAAAGAAATCCTACTCAAAACCCCATGCGTGGTCTGTAGATGATGTAATCCGATGCGTGTAAAGAGAGATTGAAGTAATTAAGTCAAATAATGAAAATGGATTTATGGATATTAAACAAAATAATAATTAATAAAATATAATTAATATTCTTTGTATTATAATAAAAATAAATAAAACATATTTATATAGAGAAAAAAAAAAAAACAAAGGAAAAAATAAATCAAATTTGTGAAAAACTGAACTAAAAATAATTTAATAATTAAGGTTAAATTTTGGCACTACAAAGAGCACTTATTTCTTTGTTGCTATTTCTTTAAATAATAATTTCTTAGTACTATTAT